CTTAGGCATCTTGATGTAAGACAAGGTTACTTTAGGTAAGCCAGGGAAGGTAGTATTTAAGTTATATTTTGGAAATGTTTCTGATTATTTCCAAAAAGAATGATATGAAGTGTCATGTGTTGTGGAATCTTGGCTTTAAACTGAAGAGAAAAGAAATTCAGTTGACTATAGAAAGAGCAATAATGTGGGTAAAAATCAAATTTGGAACATATCTGTGTTTAGAGATGTATGTAGGAGGCTGAGGATAAGGGACAGGCATGGCTGGGGGTCGCTGTAGGGGTCTAATCCATAGGTCTAAATATCTGCCCAGGAATCTGCCTTCCCCCGCAGTAACCCCCAGTGACATCTAAGGTTGTAAAAAAATATTTATGTACTGCTTTATTCCAAAAGGTTAGTGTGAAGGAAATATACTGATTGAAAATTTAGGAGTGAGGTTGGGTGTGAAATGCATGTCACTACTCTGTCTACCCACTACAGGCTGGCCTGAGATGTGTCCCTTTTGTTTCTAGCAGTCGGCATGATGAAGGACACATACTCAGTCATAACAAAACAAAAGCAAAACACCACCCAACCCATGATGAAGTACTCACTAGTCTTGACATTGACACCTGAGAGAGAGTTCTGTGGGATTTTATGAGTTAGCTGGTGACACTCTCCTGGACTTTCCTGACCCTTGGCTTCTTTGCTTGGACAGCGTGGATAGTAGCAGTAATTAATTTGTGCAGTTGTGAGGATTGCATGAAGTAATAGCTGTAAGAGACTTAGTGAGGATTAGACACATTTTAAAGTACTCAATAAATGGTTTCTATCATCTGTATGTACTGGAAACACAGCAACATGTTTCCTAAAGGAGCAAACAGATCTATCTTGCATATAGAGGCCTATGTCATCAACCACCCGGTCCTCCAGAGAACGTTTGGCTGGTATAAAACCCATTTCTGGTTTGATGGGTTTAATTCTGCAGAGTCTAAAATCATGCTTGGTAGCAAGATGATTTACGCCTCTCTCACCTGAATGACTCCAGAGCTACTCAGTGGAAGGCTCCTCTGTTGGCCTGCAAGCAGGATAGCAACTATCAGTGACGTTAGTTTAGAAGTAGCTTAGGAATTTGGAGAACTGGACACGATAGCTTCACAGTACTTCATCTTTCAACTGAGGTGGAGCAGGTGAGGATGGGAAGAAAGAAGGATCACCTGGTGATAATTTCTGACATTCAGAGATAACCCAGAAAGCCATGTTTTCTTCCGAGTGGTGCTGGCTCTGGAATGGATTGTGAGATAGTTCCAAGACATTTTGAGTTTCTGGGGAATTTGCACCATCTGTCAGAGAAAGGCATGCAGGGTATTTATTTGAACACATGACACCGAGGCCACTGCCAAATCAAAGGTGAGTACCCAGACTCACACCTAAATGAACAGTCACATGTAAATTCTAGTAGTGCTACTTGACAAAATTTTCAGTTAACAAGGATGGAACCTTTATTTTAATAACAATTTTAGACAATCACATTTTCCTTATGAATTATTGTTATTTAAAATTTTTTTGCTTCCTTTTACATTATCTTCAAGAGCAGTTTTATAGACATTTCTAGTGAGTATTTTTTTAAGGCTAAAATTCCCTTAACAAGTTAAGCAGATAACTCTCCCTGATTCTTTAAGCATCTTGCTGTTTTGTAGACCCTTGCTGGATTGAAAAGCCAGTCTGTCAAGTTTCTCATTTTCATTTTACGTGTCATATAATTCTACACCTTCAACCTCTATGGCCTTCCTAAGACCTGGCTGTCCTTTAGTGAGTTGAGATTTTAAAAATAGCCCCCAATCTTCCTGCTAGATTTCTGAGACAGGTACAGATAGTTTAATGAAGACAAATATTGAGATCCACCTATGATAGTCTTACCAACAATAATAGCCTGTTTTCATCGGGAATGCTGCTTCTGTTGATCCCGAAGACAGGTATTCTGTGGGGGTGGTGAGAAGGCTTCTGTTCCAGCTCATTTTCCGTCTGGTATTTTTGTCACTTAGTGCATGCAGCTTATGAAATATGTGGTCCCCCCTTGGGAAAGCATGCCGAACCCTGCTCAGCAAAGCGAGGCTGCCCTGTCTTCTCATGGGCAAAGAGGCTGAGGTGGAGAGAGGATGAGAAGTAATTGATGGGACACAGGCACTGTCTCTGAGTTCCTAGAGGTGTGTTTACCTTCGGGGCCATGCTCCTTTTCCTCTGTCTGAACACAAGACAGAAAAGGGAATCTGAGACACCAGTAATATGCGAAAGGAGAAGGAAGGTGCTTTGAGTTTTGCATTGCTCAGCTCAGGGCCAGGATTTCCTCTGGTAGCTCTTTAAAGGCAGTATCTTCCTCACTCAGGGAAGGTTGTTTCTTACTGTGCTGTAAGGATCCCCACTAACAGCTCATAGCCCTGTGGGTACCAGGGAGCTGCAGCTCCCCAGAGACCGTCACTGAGAGTGTCAGAAACGCCTCAGGGTGGTTGTATGGGATGGAAGTGAGAACTGGAGTAACTGCAAATGGGCATTGAGGGGCCTTTTTTGGAATGGGTGGAAATGTTTGAAAATTGGATAATGGCAGTGGTTGCACAACTCTGTAAAAATACTAAAAATCACTGAATTATACCCTTAAAATGTGAGAATTTTATGACATGTCAATTATACCTCAATAAAACTGATAAAAATGCCTGAAATTTGGGCTGTCTTGAAGGGCACCACGTTTCGTAGTCCCGTGCCTATCTGAAAGCTTCCCCACCTCCCTGGCAGTGCCTGGCAGAGAGAGTGGGGGCGCTTCTGGGGCAGGAGTTGGAGGAAAGGGGATGGGGGACAAGCAGAATTGTACTCATAAGGCAGGGAGGAGGCCTAGGGCCAAAATGGGAATGAAATGGCACCGCTTTTGTGCTAATGACAACTCAAATTAGGCCCAAAAGGTAAAATACATTGCTCTCTATAGACAATGAGAACTGACTTTCTGAACTACTCTTCATTTGGTGAACAACACTATATAGCCAGAAATCTTACCTTAAAATCCTATCGGCCCATATAAACTGTCCTGTAAATGATTTTTTATCAGACGTGCTATACAGATTTGGGTATATTACAGAATGTTTCCGGATAACCTCAGTGCAACTAGTGTAGCTTAACTGTTGTTTTTTTCCTTAGTCGCCATTATTTAATGAGATGTAGAAAATCTTTAATGTGACAGCTTTTAAAAAAATTTTCCTACTTACTTTTTTATGATGTTTTTCTAATTCCGGAATGAAGGCAGCTAAGCTTTACTAAAGAAATTGGTTGGCTTTGCTTACGTATATTGTGTGAAACAAGATAAAGCTGCTGGACTCCCTCAGTAACTGGAGCACAGGAAACAATTGACACCGTTACTTAATTCACATTGTTTCTGAGCCATTTCCTACTCGCTGGTATAATATAACTTTCCCATGAGAACAATTTGCTTGCAAATGGTTAGACATGATGCACTTCTCATTGGTACACCTTCTCTGAGAATTTCATGGTACTTTGTAGTAGTTGAGTTGGAGTGTCTCTCTCTCTCTCTCTCTCTCTCTCTCTCTCTCTCTCTCTCTCTCTCGCTGGCCGGGGAGAGGGTTATGCTTTCTGTAGATGCCTCCAACTTCATTCCAAGTGTCAAATGTTTGCTTTTGAAAGCTAACCCATTCCCTCCGGGCTCTGCATTCCTTAGCTGGAACCTCTTTCTTGAAGGAGCATGTAATTGTTTTAGTCCTTCCAGTTTAAGGAGACACCCCTGTGAATTATGGTGTTTTTAGATAGGCCAAATGGGTTACTGTAAAAAGCAATTCACAGCCATTTACATGAGACCAACTGCATGGTCGAGTGTTGCGTGCAGGTGTGCGATGTTGTCTGGGGCCCGAAAATGGTCCTCAAGGAGTAATTCCAGGGTGGGAGAGGAAACCCATACACGAGCTGCTCTGATTTGTAGTTCAAAAAAAAAAGAAGTTTTTACTTTACTTCCTAAATGGTGGTTCCCATACTCAGAAGTTATGTTACATATGAAGTGAAAGTAAAAGTTTCCAAATTAAAAAATAAAATAAAAAAGATGTGGAACTTTGAGTTCCTTTTTTTCCATGTTATCAGATTTTGTTAAAATAACACCACTTGTCAGTTTTGCAGCCTCTTCCATCCAGAGAACTAAAAGCACTTCACAATCTTTTTTCTCATGCCCTTCTCTTCAAGGCAGTTTTTGCTGGGCTGGGTTTATTTTTATCATTGCAACAACCAGTTTTTAGAAACTTTTGGAAACAAAAAAAGAAAAATGGGAATGGCACTGTAGCTGACATTCATTTTAGCTGCTTCCTAGTGTGAACATTTGAGTATTTCTAGAATCTCTCTCCAAGTACGTCTTACTTTTTCTCAGTTTGTCCCAGTTCTAGGTCTCTTCTGCTGAATGGGTAAAAAACAAAAATAAGAACAAAAACAAAAACAAAAAAGTTTTGGTGTTAAACCTTATTCCCAGTAGAATGACTCCTTGAATTCTGCAATAGACCTTTATTTTTCGCTGCTCCAAGACCTTCTTTTTCAGCACCCTGTTGCGTGTAATCACAGACTTGTGGAAATTTAGAATTGAAAGAGCCTCTGGGATTCCCTGGTTTAAGTCTATCATTGTACAAATGATGAGATCGAGGCCCAGGATCAAGGTCATATAGCTAATGGATGGCAGTGGTCTGACTAGAAAGCAGGATTTTGGATTTCTGGTGCAGTATTCTTTGGTTTTCCTAAACAAAAGTAGTCAGTCTGGATAGAAACTACAGGACACCCTCACAGAATCTTAGTGCCAGCCAACAGTTTGAATCACACTCTAGCTAATTGAAAACTGGGAGATTGCATTTTTCTGCTTTGAGTTTGTCAGATACAGAATGGTAACGCTGAGTTCATAGACATTTTCTCCCGACCTGTGGATCTGGTGCCATTTCTATGCATCAGAGAATGTGATTCAAATGACTGGTGATTTGTGTACCTTCCCTTAGGCCACCACACCATCTACATTGGGGTCCATGTGCCGAAGAGTTACAGGAGAAGGAGACGTCACAAGAGGAAGACAGGGCACAAAGATAAGAAGGAAAAGGAGAGAATCTCTGAGAACTATTCTGACAAGTCAGATGTGGAAAACGCCGAGGAATCCGGCAGCAGCATCCTGAAACCACTCAGTGAGTACTCCACGGGCGTCGGTGCCTCTGTCTGCCTCACTCCTGCATCCTTGGGAAGGACACCTTTTAGGATGTCGTGGCTGATGGGGAGGGACGCCATGCTAAGGGGATGGTCTCCTCTAAAGGATCATGTCTGTGGAGATGCTTTTTCTTGTCTCAGCAGGTTGGTCTAGGAGGAGATTTGGTAAAATTCTGAATTGGTCAGAAAAGATATGACAAAGTTTAGGGATGGTTGTGTATTCTACATTTTGACTAGTGAAATAGGGCAGGGTATTATAGATGTACTTAACCGCAGTAATCAATAGTAACTGAAAGATTCTTAAAGAAATTTTTAGATCGTTTCTGCTTAGAGATAAGGTCTATTGAGGCAGTAGGTCAAGATGAGAAAAAAATATATACATATAAATGAATGATACTTATAGACTCATAGGGCACATTTAACCAGGTTGTGAGCCAGGTTGGTAATTTAAAAGGAATAGTGAAAAAGCATCATGTAAATCACAGAAGACTGTAGAGTGGCGAGACATAGCTTTTGAAATGTTGAACATATTAGATATCATAAGAACAGAATAACAGGAAGTCAAAAAACACCATTGAATTTCAGTGATGGGTGGGACTGTATGTTTAGGTGCATATGTACGTTACTTTTGTTTCTTTTGATATGGAGAAAATTTGGCTTTCTGGGTAACTCTGTGTCTGAAGTGAGAATGAATATGTGCAGCAGAAGCAAGTGAGTGAGCGAGACGCAGGAGAGGCACATGCCAGTTTTTGGAGATTCCCCAAAGGAGTTACATAGTGACAGCTTTTTCTGTTGGCAGAGCTCTGTATATTCTTCATCTCTTTGCTGCAGTTGCAGAAATATGGAAACTGTGATGAAATGCATTAGGCGCAGATGAAGATCAGTTCAGTCATGGCAGGTGATGAGGGGCCAAATTAGAACTGTCAGCTCAGGAATGTTGAAGAGTGAATTTACAGAGTTAAATTAAAGAGGGTGTAAAGTGTAGTGATGTGCATCTGTATGTCTTTTATAGGCTCGCTATTGGAACTGAGCAGGTGGTTTAGAAGCTAGAGGTATGCTGAGAGGAGCAGTATGGTCCTCTCATAACCAAACTGAAGATAAATGTTTTGAGGAGAGTTTGGCGATGGACCGCTGAGTTCACATTTAAAGGTGTTGAGACTTAGAAGGGACCAGAGGGCAGGAGACGAGTGTTATGCAGTTTTCATTGGAGTGCTGGGAACCTAAAGGGAGCCCTTCATATATTGACTAAAAAACAAACAAACAAAAAAAAGCCACAAGAAAATGAGGTCTGTTTCAAGGGAACTCCTTGAAATGCAGATAAAAAAGGTCAGTTAATAATGTGAAGGAACAGAAGATAACATCCCTTTCCAAATAAATTGCTATTGCCTGTGTTGGTTTGCTATCTGTTTCAGCAAGGCCTGCGCCAGAATTAGAGGTGCTCTCCCCAGTGTGTATATGTGATCTCTCTCTCTCTCTCTCTCTGTATGTCTCTCTCGGCCTCTCTCAGAGTCATCTCTCATTCAGCAATTTAATTACAAGAGTGCATCATTACTATAAATATTAAAAAGGGAGAGGCACTCTCCTAGACAAATGGACTAAGGGATTATGAAATGATAATTATTTACCAACTCTATAGGAAAGACAGTGGAACAGTGCTGGTAATATTAAGTCAGTAATAGAGAATGAACTGATCAGAAAGGTAGTGAAAATGAATGTGTCTACCATGGGCGTTGCTTTCTGTGGCATTTGGGAACTATTCTGAGTACAGCATGCACAATAAACAAGGTAGTTCTTTCTCTTTACCCTCAAGAGGTCTCCTTCCTGGGGCGTATTGCATTGTGTTGTATGCCCAGTTTCTGAAAGGATCATACAGAGGGACCATTGTTAAGGACCAAATTGTTCAGTGATCATAAGAGAATTATTTATAAATTTGCATTATAGAGTCAGTTATTTTTCTGCTAGTTAATAAGTTATGCGTCATCCTATTTGACATGAAGGTCCTCTAGAAATTATTGTATATTCTCTCCACTGCTTATTGTGGAGACTAGATGAATTGGTAACTGGTTTATCTGATGCATTTCTACTTAAAATATTTGACTTGTTACACTCACATATCGAAGGACATTGAACCCTATGATATCGGGGAAGCTACAGGGCTCTGGCACCAACATGACAATAAAATTATTTTAAGGGAAAAACTCATTTACTGAAATATCTGCCTATTTGTATGCCATTATTGTTTCTGAAGAAGAGCCACACACAGTTTCTGTTATTGTTGGGTCTAGGTTTTTGGAGATACTTGTGTCTATAGATATACTACAGCCCGTAGACAAGATTTTTGCTTGGGCCTGACATTGTATCAGATGAGGCTTCTCCTTTTGAAAATACCCCACATATAAATAGAGTAACTTGATGAGAATCATCTCTGATTCTTTCCTTGATATCACCTACATACACAATCCATCAATGACTTTTGTTGCTTCTACTTCTAAAATAGGTCTGGATCTGTCTACCACTGACAAGTTAGGCTGCCACATTCTAGTCCAGGGAATTGCCCTCCCGAGTGTAGACAACAGCAACAGGTTCCACTTTTCGAGTTTGCTTCCTCACAGAGGCAACAGCGATCATCATACGGTGTAAACCAAGCCATGCTGTCCCCCTGCTGAAAGCTGCCTGTCCTTAGAGCGAGCCCTAAGGCGGTGGGCATCCTGGCAGGCAGTGTCTCAGCAGCCGGCTCTGTGTCGTTCTCTCCTTGCATACGTTTCTTTAGCCGCGCTGATTGTTCGGCTCTTTGGTGCCAAGCCTTTTTCTGCCTCAGGGCCTTTGCACGTGTAAGACTGTCTTTTGGAATACTCATTCCGTCTTTGTCCTGGTTAGCCTTTCTTTCCTTTTGTGTTCCAGATTTACATTTTTGTGTCATCCAAGAAGCCTTTCCTTCCTATTCTCTACAGTGCAGGGCAAAAGTAGGTTTACCATTGTGAGTGTGTGAAACAACAGAGTTTATTCCTGTGTTATTCTTTATTAATTATTGTATTGTTTTCCACATGAGCAACTGTAAACCTGCTTTTGTTACACCCTATATAATGTATATTTGCCAATGTTTTTTTTCTCAGCTCTTTGTTTCCTTCATAATACATGTTTTAACTTATAGTTTTGTGAGCCTATGGTCTTGCCTTGTGCTCATGCTAGGTTGTAAGCTCCATGAGACCTAGGATCAGATTTTTCTTGTCCATTGTTTTCTCTGGCACCACCTTTTTACTATACTATAAGCATGACATCTGGCTTGTAGTATATGCTTAATAAATGCTTATTGAAGAGTACTTGAATGGATGGATCACTATAGGTAGATACATAAGCATTGCTTTTATCTAAATATTTCTTACATTATAGATAAGGGTTCAGCTGATTTTCTTGTTTTTAATATCTGCAAATTATATTTATATTTCCCTGCCCTACCTTCCTCCCTGGCCATGCGAATCTGTTCCTAACTTTAAATTATTCTGCTTTGGAAGATGTCTCATTATTTTAACTATTGCTGAAAAGGCATTTTAGCCTGCATAGGTGGCTCCCAAGTGTGTGGAGCTGCTTGTCACACACAGATGATGGAAGAAGCTGATCCACAAGGCACACGATTTATTATCTATCTTAAAAGTGCTCATTACTCGGCACTTGGGCAGCTCAGCCTCAGAAGTCGTATTAAAGAGGCATGGAATGGAACAGGGAAGGCATTTAAAAGAAGAATTAAGCCAAATATCTTCCAGTATTTAGGCACATAAGGAAGATGACATAATTAAAGGGGTCACTTAGCTTATGACACAGATGCTTTTTCTTTTCTCCACAGCTTCGGAGTCAAGACAGGGCTCCTAATAGGTATTGCTTACCATGCTGGGTGCTGGTGGAGTCAAAACTGGAGTTCAAATACCAGTTCTGCCCCTCCGCAGCTGGGTGAACTTGGGAAGTTAGTTAAACCTTTTCTCCCTTTTTCTGCAAAATGGGTTGAAGAAAAACATCTCACAGTGGCACTCTAAGGATTAAATGAGATAATTCATGGGATGCTATTAGCATCAAAGCCAACATATAATAATAGTAATTATTATCATTACTATTATTACCACTGGCACCTCAATAGGTTGTTGAGAAAATCCAGTGACTGCTGTATGCATGTAGGTGTATCGCCCTTGGTAAGTTCTCTACAAATGCTGGTTTTCTTCCTCCCCTTCCCACCTTCTCCCCCTGCAAACTCGTACATGTCCTGCAAGGCCTAGTGTGAGTGTCCTGTGACTCCCTCTCCACCCTGGGGCAGAATTATTTCCTTGCTCATTTGTTCCTAACACCTAAAAGTGATGGCACGCTGGGGGAAAAAAGACAGGGTTTCTAAAAAGTGAATGCATGTTTTGATTCTCACGCATGTGGAGCTTTGAGGAGGGAGGCTAGCTGGCTTTATTTCTCCTCTGAACTGGGCGGCAGCTCCAAGTCCTGGCACAGCTGCTCTTCCCAGTGCGGTGTCCGAGAAGTGTGGTACCTGCGCTAAGCGGGGAGAGGCTGGGGAAGAAAAGTGAGATGGAGGAGAAACAGGAGGAGAGACAAGAGAATGAGGAGGTGGTGTGGAGTGGGTGGTGGAGAGAAAAGAGAGATTGTGCTCTTTCTTAAAAATAATCCTTTTGCCTCCTCCACGGTGCACTTGTTTCTTCTAAGTTAGCAGCTGCCATCCTTGAGGGTTGCCCAGAAAGTGGGCAGGAAGGTGGTCCCCGGTGCCATAGGCTCTGGAATCACAGCACAGCTTCCCAGCGTAGATGGTTTTGATCTCTGAACCTCAGATTTTGCTAGTGTCCTGGCATATTTATGGGGAAATCACAGGCTACTCTGTGGCTGCAGAGATTCTGAACATGTGTAAAATGTTCAGAAACAGCGCCGCGAACAGAACGTCCTGTTCAGCATATTGGTCTGACAGGTACTGTTTCTGGACGAGCTTGAGCAGGCG